AATTTCGCTGTAACTTTTCCTGGCAAAACACTCCGTAAAACTGTACATGAAAGAGAGGAAACAATAAAGCCTAAAGCACTTAAAAAAAAAAAAAAAACTAACCTGGACATCACTATTACCACCAAACGCCAAGTACGTTTCAGACTCACTTGCAACAGATTTCGGCTTAAAGTCAACTGAAAATAATTACTCCCCATTGCTTAGCCAGGAATTATCAAGCATTTTTCGTCCACGCATTTCAAAAACAAAAATTGTGCTTCTAATCTAAACAGTAAGGTATTCCCCTGCATTCACAAAACTTCTAAAAATAAGAATAATAAATTCATTTAGAATTCAGAAGTAGCATATAAGAAAAAAATGCTAAAATCATCATTATTTTGTTCTAGAAAATATTAATCAGCTGGATAAATAAATTACAGCATTTGGATGGCAAACTAGACTTCTCAGGAAAGTCAAAATATAAGTTTGAAAGAGAGGTGGTTCCCGATTAGGATACCAAAACATTTATAAATTGTGAAACTTTTTTAGCTGCCTCCCACTAAAAAAAAGTAAAAAAATAGCCCTCGAAAACTTTATTAAACTCAATGCACCGAGAGAAGCAAAAATTAGCATAATACAAACGGAATAAAGACTCATTTCACTAGAACCTTTAAAAAAAGCAATCAGCTTACATCTTAAGGTATGATAAGCAGACTTTTCGACATTGCTTTGAAAGGTTTCTCCAAGCTTGAGGTTGTATGTTCCTGGAGGAATCTCTCGCGCTTCTGCCATCGAGTTAAGAAAACTCCTGCCCTTCTCAGCTACACCTAAAAGCTACAATCCCGTTGCACAAACCAGTCCGAGCTCGATTCTAAAACACCTTGCAATACAACGTGATCACACACAATGTATAATGCCACAGCTTGAAACTAATTTCAGTTAAACCAATTTTTAAGGTTTTTCTTATCCAAATGAAAAAACACTCTCATTAAATCTAGTAACTGTTAATTTATCACACTAAAATCTTTTATATTGTAAACTTATGATCTAATATCAGGTAGCTGTACCGAAGTTAACACGAAGCAATGTAGAAATCCAGTGCTGAATTCCCAGCTAGTGAGGTTCTCCCCGTCAATACCGCTGGTTAAAACCTTTCAATGGTTGCAAACGACTGAATGCGAACGTAATATTATAAATAAAGGCTCAAAAAATCTCAATTAATTTTCTTAGAACTAACTAAAAATCGAATATTACAAATGAGACTGTTAAAAATCGATGTTACACCAACTGCATATTATACAAAGACAACCAGATTACTTTCAATACCATTTGATCAGTACCTAATCGCTGCAGTACTACCAAGCAAAAATTACCAGGTTTTAAATCCAATTTCACAGAAAATTCATAATTCTGTCCTCAATGTTATCAAAAAATTCCTCGAGAGAAAGATGTTTCCTAAACTAACTCTCTACCGCT